GGGTGACAGGTGGGGTAGCAGGGTGACAAGTGGGGTGGCAGGGTGAGGGGGGTGACAGGTGGGGTGGCAGGTACCTTTTTCCCTGGTGGTCCAGTGGTGGCAGACTCCCTGGTGGTCCAGTGGTGGCAGACTCCCTGGTGGTCCAGTGGTGGCAGACTCCCTGGTGGTCCAGTGCACTTTCCGGTCTGCAGCTCCGCCGGATGCAGAGCTGCAGACCACATGGGGATTGTCTCGCGATCTCCAGTCAGAGCGTTGCCGTGGTAACCCGCGGCAACGCTCTGATTGGCTGGAGAGCGCGAGACACCCCAGTCTGCAGCTCACACCCGGCGGAGCTGCAGACTGAGGCCGGCTCTCTCCCCGGGCGTACTGACAGGGCAAACCACCGGGCCCCCTCCTGTGTCGGGACCTCGAGGACCCGACATGTCAGTCTGCCCTATTGCGGTTTAGGCGGCCGCGAGGCCCCACACAGCGCGAGGCCTTAGGCGGCCGCCTAAACCGCCTAATTAGAGAGCCGCCTCTGAGTTGCAGGTAGCGATCTCTCTGCATAACCTCAGGGAAAAGAGGGGTAGCCAGGACGCGTTGCTTGTTCCGGTAGGACCTGATACTGGGCTTTTTAACTATACCCATCACTAGGGATAAAGCCCAAGAACGCTTCATCTCTGCGACATCTCTGCGACCCAGTTTCTGTCTGGCATTGGGCATTCTAAGCGTCCTCTTGTGAGTGGTGGTGGGGCACCATCACTTGAGATCTCACTCAGAGGCTCAATATCAGAGGCAGTGATAGTGTCACTGTCTTGCAGAGTGTCACTATCACTGCCTGCCAGAATGGCATACGCCTCCTCTACTGAGTAGCGACGTGCCATTCTAGGGGGACAAATTAATTAAGTGATACACTAAGGTGGTAATTAATTATTATCTACCTGCCTAACACCCACTACCCAACCTCAAAAAACCCACGAAAAATAAAATAAATGTACTGATCACAGTATAGGCAGCTGCAATCAGTACTGAAAGGGTTACTTTTATTTTTTGTTATATAAAAATAACCTTAAAAAAAGGTCAGTCTGATCAGAGAGCCCTCTGATCACAGTGATCAGTGATACAGTACGGTACAGCAGATATACTGTACAGTGATCGCGGCAGCGGGAAAAGGGTTAAGGGAGATTTGGATTGCTGCGACTGACCCAAAGAGTAAAAGAAAAAAATTTTCTACCCACAAACAAAAAAAATCAATATAGTACAAAAGTACTAAATGCCCAAATCAGGCTGATGACAGTAATATGCTGTGATCAGCACTGAAAGGGTTAAATAAAATTAATTTTTTTTTTTTTTTACTTTTAAAAAGTATTAAATCTTTTTTTTTCCCACAGGAGCTGCTACACCAACGATCTCTCTGCCTCTCTCTCTCAGATTGAAGTGAGGAGACAAGGTGTCAGCCAGTGATTTGAGATCATTTGCTGACACCTAGTAACAGTGATCATAGTGACTGGCTGTCACTGTGATCACATGCTACAGATCATGGTACCACAATCTGCAGGGGGATAATGGAAGCAGTTACATGTGTCAGCCAATAGGCTGTCACTGTGATCAGACTGTGCAGATCGCGGTCACTGACCACAGGGGCACTGCCTGGGTGGCCAGGCATGTCCCCTGACCGCGATCTGCAAGGGGAGAATGCCGCGGCCACGCGTCTCAGCCAATTTTAAATTGGCTGATACATAGTAAATAATGATCGCAGTGACAGCTTGTCACTGCGATCAGAGGCTGCAGGTCACGGTCACTGGCCACAGGTGGGCTTCCTGGGTGGCCAGGCATGCCTCCGACCGCGATCTGCAGCAGGCGAATGGTGGCGGCCACAACGGCTAGTACATTCTATGCCGCCTGCCGGCATTTAGAGCCAGCCCCTTAAGGACAACATAGAATGCCCATCATCCTTAAGGGGTTAATGTATCCTTTTATTCGTAAATAGTTAGACATTTCTCCTTTAAGTTCTTGAGATTTTTCAGGAATTTCTGTCAAAGTTTTAATACGTTTATCCAATAGTAGATCATTTATTGTCGTTAGTCCACTACTATACCATTTACTCAAATTGATATCTTTTATAATGTTCGCTAAGCTTCTCAGAGAAGTATTTATTAGGACTTTGTTATTTAACTTTTTTTCTTCTTAAATTTCTTCTAAGTGGTTAAAATATGCTTCATAATTAAACATCTTCCCACTATTGGCATTTTTGATGCTTCTGTTGTCCAGAATCCATACCCTTCGTCTTTCTGTTGTGTTAGATCTTTTTCCACCTTATACCCGTTTTCTTCTCTTGAGGATTCCTTTTGTGTCATAAATGCATGCATCAACATGCTTGCATTATGATATTCATATATATATATATGGCATAGACAGACCACCGTGAGCGGGTTTCAATTTAAGACAATCTAATTTTAACCTTGTTTTTTTGCTCCGCCAAACAAAATTGGTAAATGCAGCCTGAATCATAGTTAGCCA